GAATTTTTTCAGGAGCCGCCACTGGATGAGCCTATAGCCCTGAGGTCTCTAACCTGGTTACTTGATGGGCTTCAATGAGTACAGTACATTCAGAAAGTATTCAGACCCCTTGACTTTTTCCACATTTTGTTACATTACAGCCTTATTTTTAAATGAATTAAATAAATACAAATCCTCATCAATCTACACACAATACCCCATAATGACAAAGCGAAAACAGGTTTTTTGAATCTTTCGGAAATGTATTAAAAATAAAAAACAGAAATACCTTATTTACATAAGTACTCAGACCCTTTGCTATGAGACTCGAAATTGAGCTCAGGTGCATCCTGTTTCCATTGATCATCCTTGAGATTTCTATAACTTGATTGGAGTCCACCTGTGGTAAATTCAAATGATTGGACATGATTTGGAAAGGCACACACCTGTCTATATAAGGTCCCACAGTTGACAGTGCATGTCAGAGCAAAAACCAAGCCATGAGGTCGAAGGAATTGTCCATAGAGCTCCGAGAGAGGATTGCGTTGAGGCACTGATCTGGGGAAGGGTACCAAAACATTTCTGCAGCATTGAAGGTCCCCAAGAACACAGTGGCCTCCATCATTCTAAAATTCTCTGGTCTGATGAAACCAAGATTGAACTCTTTGGCCTGAATGCCAAGTGTCACGTCTGGAGGAAACCTGGCACCATCCCTACGGTGAAGCATGGTGGTGACAGCATCATGCTGTGGGGAAAGTACTGAGTAAAGAGTCTGAATACTTATGTAAATGTGATATTTCCGTTTTTTATTTTAAATAAATGTGCAAACATTTCTAAAAACCTGTTTTTGCTTTGTCATTATGGGGTATTGTGTGTAGATTGATGAGGGAAAAAACTATTTAATAAATTTTAGAATAAGGCTGTAACGTAACAAAATGTGGAAAAGGTCAAGGGTCTGAACACATTCTGAATGCACTGTAAATACATTAACTATACATGGATAAATCAATAAATACAAGAGACTTGTAAGGAGCCACATTTATGAGGATGCTGTCATGAGGATGCTGAGGATGACAACGGACTGTGTTAGGATGTCAATATAAAGGAATGTATTTATGGTTGTTTGTCATTTTGTCTTGCCTTTTAATCATTATGTGTTATTGTTTTACCATCAAGGAGCACTTTGGAAACAAGCGTTTTAATTAATACTTTCAAGTGATATCCTCTGGGTCCACATTGTACATTTTGTTGTATATGTCTGTTACCCAAAATAAATTCAATTCAATTCAATGCAGCTACACTACTGTACTGAGTGTTGGCCATGCTGCAACTGTCAATCAAACTAGTGTACCATGTATGGTTTATTGTTGGTAAGCATGATTGTATGTGTGAACTGGTAAGCGTGTGAGTGAGTGAATGACCTCGTGAGCGTGTCTGTGTGTGTAAGTGTGCGTGTGAGTGAGTGACCTGGTGAGCGTATGTGTGTGTGTGTGTCTGACCTGGAGACTTTGCAGCGTGTCTCCATAAGGTCACTCTCGACGTCCAGCAGGTGTGCGCGTTTCCTCAGCTCCAGGGGGGAAGTCAGTCTCTTCAGCCTGAGCAGAGCCACACAGAACTGGGCTCCCATCTCCTCCAGCTCTCTGGTGCCTATCTGAAGACCCTGGACACGCACACGCACACACACACACACTATTAACACTTACTGTACAAACATTATATAAAAAAAAAACACACACACACACACACACAAGCATGCACACACACACATTATTTTAGGGCTGTCCCTGACAAAAAAAAATCTTGGTCGACCAAGAGTCATCTGTTCTTTCGACCAACCGACTGGTCGAAATTTTAAAACGGGTATTTTTCCATATATAGATACATCCTATGTGTTTTAATCAAATCAAATAATACTAATAATAATAATATGCCATTTAGCAGATGCTTTTATCCAAAGCGACTTACAGTGTGCATACATTTTTACGTATGGGTGGTCCCGGGGATCGAACCCACTACCCTGGCGTTACAAGCGCCATGCTCTACAAATTGAGCTACAGAGGACCACATATATGCACTGAGCTTGTCTGATGCTTTCAGCGCACTCTTTGATTAAATAATTAAGGACACACAAATGATTCGAGGGAGTCCGACTGCAATTGATTTGATTGTGCCGGGCCGGGCTCAGACTTGCTGTGCTGTGTAAAAAAATAATACAATAAGTGACTGTGACTAGCACCCGTTGTCTCTCTCTCCTCCCTCCTGCAGCGACCACCACAGAACATCAGTGTTTATCGCGCTGTCCGTGTTGCTGAAGCTGCAACATAATTACAGCCATTTCTGACTGAAAAGTTCTGTTACTGAAATCCCTAATTTGTTTAGGAAAAACATTCCCTATTCCCTCAACCCTTGCTGTCTTTACGTGACACGTATGCATCGCAGGCACGTGGCCAATAGGGCTTTTGACATTATCGATCACAGTCTGCTGCTGGAAAAACGTATGTGTTATGGCTTTACACCCCCTGCTATAATGTGGATAAAGAGTTACTTCTCTAACAGAACACAAAGGGTGTTCTTTAATGGAAGCCTCTCAAACATAATCCAGGTAGAATCAGGCATTCCCCAGGGCAGCTGTCTAGGCCCCTTGCTTTTTTCCATCTTTACTAACGACATGCCACTGGCTTTGAGTAATGCCAGTATGTCTATGTATGCGGATGACTCAACACTATACACGTCAGCTACTACAGCAACTGAAATAACTGCAACACTTAACAAAGAGTTGCAGTTAGTTTCGGAATGGTTGGCAAGGAATAAGTTAGTCCTGAATATTTCCAAAACTAAAAGCATTGTATTTGGGACAAATCATTCACTAAACCCTAAACCTCAACTACATCTAGTAATGAATAATGTGGAAATTGAGCAAGTTGAGGTGACTAAACTGCTTGGAGTAACCCTGGATTGTAGACTGTCATGGTCAAAGCATATTGATACAACAGTAGCTAAGATTGGGAGAAGTATGTCCATAATTAAGCGCTGCTCTGCCTTCTTAACAACACTATCAACACAGCAGGTCCTACAGGCCCTAGTTTTGTCGCACCTAGACTTCTGTTCAGTAGTGTGGTCAGGTGCCACAAAGAGGGACTTAGGAAAATTGCAGTTGGCTTAGAACAGGGCAGCACGTCTGGCCCTTAAAAGTACACGGAGAGCTAACATTGATGACATGCATATCAGTCTCTCCTGGCTCAGACTGGAATGGAGATTGACTTCATCACTGCTTGTTTTTGTGAGAGGTGTCGACGAGCTGAATGTATCGAGCTGTCTGTTTGGAATACTGGCACACAGCTCGGACACCCATGCATACCCCACAAGACATGCCACCAGAGGTCTCTTCACAGTCCCCAAGTCCAGAATGGACTATGGGAGGCGCACAGTACTATATAGAGCCATGACTACATGGAACCCTATTCCACATCAGGTAACTGATGCAAGCAGTAGAATCAGATTTTAAAAACAGGTAAAAATACACCTTGTGGAACAGCGGGGACTTTGAAGAGACACACACACAGGCACATACACACATACACATAGAAACGCACTCTACACACACGTACACATGGATGTTGTATTATAAATATGTGATAGTGGAGTAGTGGCCTGAGGGAACACACTAAATGTATTGGGTAAAGTGTTATGAAATATAATGTTATTTTAAATTGTATATAACTGCCTTAATGTTGCAGGACCACAGGAAGAGTAGCTATTTGGCTATTGATTATAGACCTAATAAAGTTGGGGTTTCCTCTCTCCTCACTTTTCATAGACAATTAAGGCAAGGGCTGTCTTCTAACTCTGCTGCTGCCTCCACCGCATTGTTCACAACACCAATACGCTGGTTAACTTTGCTATTATACACATAGCAACATGGTCTAGGAAAAGGCGGCAATTCAACAGTGCACTAATGTGTTTCAGAACCGTGGACAGCGACCACTATCCAACGCGGGATGAAAGCGCATCTGTTATAAAATAATAGTATTTTTATTAGTGTTGCACCATTGTTCTTATGTAATATAACCATATACAAATCTTAGAGTGATGGACTATGCCATCCCCATGGCCTCCACAATGATCAGTCCACTCAGACTGGCGCGAATCAGACAGGTGTCTTATACACCATTAATTATTTTTTGCTACTGCTCGACTTAAAAAATCTTGGTCGACCAACAGCCTATCGACCAAACAATCGACCAGTCGACTGGGGTCTGCCCTGCATTATTTACACTTAAAAACATATCACACACACTTGTGCAATCTCAAGTCTACAGTGGGCTTCCAGTAACATGTTTGTAGTAGAAACATGGTTGTGTTGTGGAGCGTTGTGACTCAGAGCAGAACTAAAAGAGGACACTGGCTTGGCGGGAGCATGACAAATACAACCTCAACTAAATGGGCTTCCTGCACATCTGTCCAAACACTTTCCCCATAAATACATAACCCAATCAGGAAGGATGAGGGCCAAACTGGCAACCCTAGCCTGCCCCTGGGCTCTGTAGATGTTGACATTGGCAACCCAAGTGCTGAGAGAGGGCGAGGAGCTGCCAGAGGTTTCTGCACTCACTGCACACTCACTGACAGACAGGCAGAACAACAGCTCAGCCATCATGCACACACGTTTTCTTTTTACTATCCTAGTGGGGACCAAACAATTGATTCCCATTCAAAATCCTATTTTACCTAACCCTAATTGTAACCCTAACCCCTAAGCCTAAAATAGCCCTTTTCCTTGTGGGGACAGGCAAATTGTCCTTGTTTTACCAGCCTTGTGAGGACTTCTTGTCCCCACAAGGACAGTAAAGCCACACACACAGTTTTGTACTGTGTTTAGTTTATATGATAAGCCTGATGATGCTGATTTTTGTCACTAACAGTATGATTTACAGGACTATAGCTCCCCCTGCTGGTTGTTGGTCCACACACACACACACACACACACACACCAGGCTGGATCGACACACACACCCACCCACCTTGTATTTGCCCTGGTCACAGCCGCAGAGTGTGCTCTCCATTGTGTAGCTGCGCTGGACTCCGATCTCCCTCCACACCACCACGCGGGCCGTGGCCTCCTTGGAGCGCTCCACCACAAAGCTACAGCTGGCCATGCTGAAAGCCGGTGCCATCTGGGACAGGATCTTAGGCAGAGTCTGAGGGACGGAGCACGGGGGAAGAGTTTGAGTGCAACACCCATAGACAATAGACAATGAGGGCATGCCTGTGTCGGATAGAGGATACGCTATGGATGGATGGATGTACTTGAGAGGATCTAAAAGAGAAACAGTCAGTGTGTGTGTGTGTGTGTGTGTAACTATCCACTGTGTCCGCATTGTTTCCAGATGGCCTGGTCCCTCCCTGTATGCAAATTATTTGAGAGATATTGTTGCTGAGCTGACCTGAGCAAGATTGAATAGCCATGAAAATTCCATGAAAAATTAGGAAAGCACATCTAGAGATTCTTATAAGAGGGATCACAGCTGTACTGATAGGAATCTGTTCTGATTTATCACCATGATCTAATCATCAGGGTTACATTGGCTAAATGCAATTAATATGTTTCTGAGCAAGAGCCTTAATACATTAACGAACATAAGGGAAGATCGTGTGTGATTGTGTGTGTGTGTGTGTGTATATGTAGGGCTGGCACAATTACCGAGCATTTCTGTGGTGACATGGACTTTAACAAGGTGATGAAAGTTTGTTGCTCCTTCCTGGAACAAGCAGGGTGTTGTAGCAAACCATAGAAATAGAATGAATAGAACGGACTTAGAACCTCTAACCCTAAAGTCATGGTTACACTCGCAATGGCTGCCTGGTATTGTGATGCAATCATTTCCATGGTAATGTAGAATGTTCATTCAAATGATGTTAACTGATGTGGCTCATGCAATGGAATGTATTTTTTGTAACGTCAGCTGAGTTGAATCAAAAAATCACAGCACATATTGATGGGTACACTTCCTGCTTTTACTTCCTGCTTTGCTCCTATGTACACTCGCAAAAGACGCCAGTCCCACCCATTATGCCATCATTGTCTTCAATGGAGATGCCCGTTCTATACATTCTACTTCTATGGCAGCACATGCAGTCAGGACCGGAGGAGAAAATGCACGTGTTTTGCTATGCAAACGGTCATTACGGAGACCGCAGTCATTTGGCTGGCCAATTACTGTCATCCACAATTCTATGACCGTCACAGCCCTAGGTGTGTGTGTGTGTGTGCGTGTGTGTTCTCACCCTATAACCGAGGTCTTCGTGTAGCTCACAGGATGTTGCGCTGATGTTGGTCTCCCATACGGTCTCCTTCAAACTGCAACCGTACATGAACACGTTCTTCTTCCGGGAGTGACCATGGTAGTCACAGAACACCTATACACCAGAGGGAAGGGGACAGAGATTACAGTGAATGTATGAAGACAATCAAACTTCATCAACCTGGCTTTCCTGCCACGACTATTAGGGAAAGAGACAAGGTTAAGGTAATGGCTAGGGAAAGGGTTAGCATGACAGAGTTAGCCACGTGTGACCAGCGCTGTAAGGAAGTCGGGCTATGGCACATATCGCGGGTACGGTATGTAACCGTGGGGCTCACCAGTGGCGCCCTCTGGATGGCAGCGAGGTACTGCAGCAGGCTCTTGGTGTGGTAGATGGTGGGATGTAGCTCCGGACTGGGGCTCTGCCACTGTCGGTTCAGATCCTCCCCGCTCAGAGAACAACGGTGACTGGAGGGAGAGGCAGGAGAGGGAGAAACAGGGGGGAAGAGATAGAGAGGGTCAAAAGGAAGTGAGGAGGAGGGGGGGGGGGAGATGGAATGAGAAAAAGAGAAGTTAATCAACTTGAGTTTGTGTGTGCACGTGTGTGTTATATAGTATTGGTTGGGTGTGTGTTCGTGTATGTGTGCGCACATCTTCATACGCGCATTGTGTGTGTGTGTATGTGTGTACACTTACTTGCCGTTGACCACTCCGTCAGGGTTGAGCATGGGGACTATCTTGAAGATGTATGCCTCCCTGAGACTCTGTGCCAGGGGGCTGCTGCCCATCAGAAACTCCAGGGTGCCCTTCATCACCCAGCTGGCATTGGTCTCCCCTGGGTGCACCCGCGCTGACAGGAACACCAGCGGACGGTTCCCTGGACACACACATCACACAATAAAATAGAAATACACTCAGCAGCACATCTTTAACATATTCCCCCAGTAGTCAGTGGTCAGTCAGTACTCACTGAACAGGCAGATCTGGTCGTTGCTGGTGGACTCAGGCATGGCGGTGATGGTGAGAAGGGGGCAGCTGTTTCCCCCCAGAGTCTCACACAGGACGTCTTGGCGCATGTAGATCTGAGGGGTCCGCAGCGCCTCCAGCTTCTGCAGGTGCATCTGGGCAGGAACACAGGAACACAGGAACACAGGAACACAGACGATAAGGAGGCTTTACACAACGGTGGAGCTCTGTTGGGCTAGTGGAGTAGTACCCCAACTAATGAACATGTTCAATCGTCAAAACTGTGAAACAATTTAGGTTTTTCCAGAGTTGATTTAGCTTTTATACCTTCAGAGTACAGTAGGGATAGTGCTATATTGGGCGGCAGGTAGCCTAGCGGTTAGGAGCGTTGGGCCAGTAACCGAAAGTTCGATTTATAATGGCAGTTTATTGATTGCGTAAACAACAACAGTAATTGTGTGAGGGCGGGGATGCAGGGTTGTGTTCCAAATAAAACAACTACAAGTGTACTTGCTCTAGTTCCTCAACAGCACAGCTAGGAGAGCTCAAAAAAGCACCTTACAATTGAAGACTCTTCTTTGTCATAAAAGTGCATCTAAATTGCTTAGGAACTGTGCACTCTTTGGAGAGGTGTGTGTCCACTTGGAGATACCAGTTAGACCTCTCACTCAAACCCTTATCATTGTTTTGTCTTATGTTGCACCTACCCCACATTATCCAGGAATATTCTTACCATGTTACTGAATGTATCCGGAGTATTTTCAGATTTCGTTATCAACAAATGCGGCGAAAAGTACAGTAAATGTAAAATTCACATAAAATCAACAGTGTAATGTTTGGATTCAGTCTTGAATTCTACAGGAGAATGTCAGGCCATCCATCCGTGAGCTGATGCTGAAGGGCAGCTGGGTCATGCAGCAAGACAATGATCCAAAGCAAGTCTATATCAGAATGGCTGAAAAGCAACAAATGTAGAGTCAAAGTCCATACCTAAACCCGATTGAGATGTGGCAGGACCTGAAATGAGCAGTTCATGCTTGAAAACCCTCAAATGTTGTGGAGTTACAGCAGTTCTGCATGGAAAAGTGGGCCAGAATTCCTCCACAGTGATGTGAGAGACCGATCAACAACTACAGGAAGTGTTTGTTGCTGTCATTGTAGTTAAAGGTGGCAAAACCAGTTATTGAAAGGGGCAATTACTTTAACACAGGGGCATTGGGTGTTGCATAACTTAAATACAATAAATAAGTATCAATTTTTTTTGTTATTTGTTCACTCAGGTCCCCTTTACCTAATATTACGTTTTGGGTGAAGATCTGATAACATTCAGTGTCAAAAATATGCACACATTTTACATTTTAGTCATTTAGCAGACGCTCTTATCCAGAGCGACTAACATGAGCAATTAGGGTTAAGTGCGTTGCTCAAGGGCACATCGACAGATTTTTCACCTAGTCAGCTCAGGGATTAGAACCAGCGACCTTTCGGTTACTGGCCTTTCGGTTACTGGCACTTACCACTAAGCTACCTGCCGCTTTGATGGATCAGAAAGGAGGCAAATACTTTTTCACGGCACTGTATCTATTACCTTCAGAGTAGAGTCGGGGTAGTAGTATATAGTAGTGTAGGGGTAGTGGTATATAGTAGTGTAGGGGTAGTGGTATATAGTAGTGTAGGGGTAGTGGTATATAGTAGTGTAGGGGTAGTGGTATATAGTAGTGTAGGGGTAGTGGTATATAGTAGTGTAGGGGTAGTGGTATATAGTAGAGTAGGGGTAGTGGTATATAGTAGTGTAGGGGTAGTGGTATATAGTAGAGTAGGGGTAGTGGTATATAGCAGAGTAGGTGTAGTAGTATACAGTACCTTTAGAGTAGAGTAGGTGCAGGGCTGGGCGATATGGCCAAAATATCATATTATGGTATAACGTTTTAAAAAATTTTTATGGACAGTGTTTTATGTTCTTGAATAATACAAGTTCTAAATTTGCTTTATGAGTAGGGTGTGACCCTACGGTGGCAACACATACATTCTAAGTGTTTTCAATAGGTCTTTCTCCATTCTGATTGTTTTATACTGTTCAATCCACTAACCCAATGAGAGAAGGCCACAAGTGTTTCCCTAAAAGCTGTCTGGGTTTAAACATCTTCTATTGTACAGAAAGTGAATAATATAAAAAAGTATGCATTTCCTGCACTCACTTGAGATCATTTCCACACTGCCACGTAGAGCTGCACGATATGGGCAAACAATCTAGGCCTTATTTTTAACCAAATGTTGCAATTGCAATTTGACTTGTGATTTAGAACAAAACCACTAGGAAATAAAATGATTATTCTAATTCTATAGTTAGAATATAATAGTGGGCACTTTGAATACAGTGTTGTTTGACATGACAACAAATGAAAATACCAGGGAGGTGTTATTGTGACAGGGTAGGAACCAAAGTGTTGATAAGTGTTTCCTAGGGGACCCTATAATCTTTGGCAACATTGAATGTTCTCTGAGCTACTTCATGTAGCGAAAATATTATTGCTTTGCGTATCCTCTGATTTAGAAGATACTGTTGCACAAACAACATGCTAATGTACAGTGGGGAGAACAAGTATTTGATACACTGCCGATTTTGCAGGTTTTCCTACTTACAAAGCATGTAGAGGTCTGTAATTTCTATCATAGGTATACTTCAACTGTGAGAGACGGAATCTAAAACAAAAATCCAGAAAATCACATTGTATGATTTTTAAGTAACTAATTTGCATTTTATTGCATGACATAAGTATTTGATCACCTACCAACCAGTAAGAATTCCTGCTCTCACAGACCTGTTAGTTTTTCTTTAAGAAGCCCTCCTGTTCTCCACTCATTACCTGTATTAACTGCACCTGTTTGAACTCGTTACCTGTATAAAAGACACCTGTCCACACACTCAATCAAGCAGACTCCAACCTCTCCACAATGGCCAAGACCAGAGAGCTGTGTAAGGACATCAGGGATAAAATTGTAGACCTGCACAAGGCTGGGATGGGCTACAAGACAATAGGCAAGCAGCTTGGTGAGAAGGCAACAACTGTTGGCGCAATTATTAGAAAATGGAAGAAGTTCAAGATGACGGTCAATCACCCTCGGTCTGGGGCTCCATGCAAGATCTCACCTCGTGGGGCATCAATGATCATGAGGAAGTTGAGGGATCAGCCCAGAACTACACGGCAGGACCTGGTTAATGACCTGAAGAGAGCTGGGACCACAGTCTCAAAGAAAAACCATTAGTAACACACTACGCCGTCATGGATTAAAATCCTGCAGCGCACGCAAGGTCCCCCTGCTCAAGCCAGCGCATGTCCAGGCCCGTCTGAAGTTTGCCAATGACCATCTGGATGATCCAGAGGAGGAATGGGAGAAGGTCATGTGGTCTGATGAGACAAAAATAGAGCTTTTTGGTCTAAACTCCACTCGCCGTGTTTGGAGGAAGAAGAAGGATGAGTACAACCCCAAGAACACCATCCCAACCGTGAAGTATGGAGGTGGAAACATCATTCTTTGGGGATGCTTTTCTGCAAAGGGGACAGGACGACTGCACCGTATTGAGGGGAGGATGGATGGGGCCATGTATCGCGAGATCTTGGCCAACAACCTCCTTCCCTCAGTAAGAGCATTGAAGATGGGTCGTGGCTGGGTCTTCCAGCATGACAATGACCCGAAACACACAGCCAGGACAACTAAGGAGTGGCTCCATAAGAAGCATCTCAAGGTCCTGGAGTGGCCTAGCCAGTCTCCAGATCTGAACCCAATAGAAAATCTTTGGAGGAAGCTGAAAGTCCGTATTGCCCAGCGACAGCCCCGAAACCTGAAGGATCTGGAGAAGGTCTGTATGGAGGAGTGGGCCAAAATCCCTGCTGCAGTGTGTGCAAACCTGGTCAAGACCTACAGGAAACGTATGATCTCTGTAATTGCAAACAAAGGTTTCTGTACCAAATATTAAGTTCTGCTTTTCTGATGTATCAAATACTTATGTCATGCAATAAAATGCAAATTAATTACTTAAAAATCATACAATGTGATTTTCTGGATTTTTGATTCCGTCTCTCACAGTTGAAGTGTACCTATGATAAAAATGACAGACCTCTACATGCTTTGTAAGTAGGAAAACCTGCAAAATCGGCAGTGTATCAAATACTTGTTCTCCCCACTGTAGGTCTACACCATCACTGGTATTATCAGGCTGTATAGCTAATTACGTTTGCTCTGACTCACACGGAAAGAGGGAGAGCTCGGTTCGTTGTTTTGAAAGTCTATTGAAAAAGTTCTTACTACCTTTTGAGTTTGGATCCTGCGACGCGGTTGGCATCAGTTGCTGGGACCGCTACTATCTGTCCAGTGATCCTGCCGACCAAGGCCGGGTCTGAGGAGCTGCTTCGCCTAGCTGATAGCTAGCTGCCTATCAAGCTTGAGGGCTTGAAGGCAGCCCGCGACGCGGTTAGCCATTGTGGCTTGGACCGCGGATTGTCCCGTGCTTGTGGATGTCTAGACCCCTGCTGTTGTTTGTTGTTGTTGTTGTTGTTGTCTCCAATCTTTCCTACTACCTGCCCTGTCTGGAACTGCGAGGAGTAACAGCGTAACCTACGTTGCTACCATGACAAAGACCAAAGCCGGCGGGATTACCATTGAGGACAGTGGTGTCTCTCTATCACAGGTGAAGGATATTTTAAACAAACAAAAAGAGATCTACAAGCAATTGTTACAACAAGAAAATAGCTTCAAGTGTTGTGTCCAAATACTGGTGGAGTCAACTAATAAAAGAATGGACGACCTGACCAGAGAGATCTAGGACCTGATGAACAGTTTGCGGTTCTCCTATGGTCAGCTTGATGAGTTTAAACAGGAGAACGGCAAGATGACAGCAATATGTAAGTCATTGAGAGAGGACATTAGTTGTGTGTGTGAATGACGGAGAAATCCGATTGTCCCGAGGGACAATCAAGGAGGAACAACATGGTTGTGGACGGAATTGAGACCTGGACGAAGTCTGAGGACAAAGTGAGGAAAATTATCTCGGAGAAACTGAAGCTGGACCAGAGGAAGATTGAGGTGGAGCGCACCCACAGGACTGGAAAACCCACCACTGGCCCAGGTGACAGGCCCAGGCTAATAGTGGTCA